TATAAATACTTGTGTTGGGATGGAATTTCAAAGCGCGATCCTAAAGCATTGAATGGCAGACGCAAGTATTCTATTCACGTGGCCTTGGGATTCAAATTAATGTCTCGCTTACAATTTTTCTTTAGTACCTACCTCTGACTTGTATTTTCTTTTTCTTATTGTGAGCATAAAATTGGTATGTTCCTTTGGATATTTCTGAATTAACTTTAAATGATTACAACTTTACTGTTATTTTTTTACCGATGATATGTTATATATCATCACGCCTTTTATCCCCGAAGGGATAGGCAGAAGTGTACCTACATTATGTCACTGTACAATGTAACACCCACATTTCACTATTTATGCTATGAGTCTCATGTAATAGGGGGTGAGCATATTGCCATATATCGGGCACAGTTCCAGACTCCGTGCTACTACTGAGATTTTTTTTGAAACAGCCTAGTAATACTTTGCACGACCCGGGAATCGAACCCGAGATCCCTTGCCCAGCAGTCACAATTGCGACCACTCGGCCAACGAGGCAGTCTTTAACGGCTGTTGAAATTATACCTACTAACCAGATTGGTGATTTATTAAGCCTTTTTTTGGATCCCGTATATTTTTTTGAGTTACAACTCTTTAGCTTCCAAACACAAAAATACTGTCTTTTTTGATATCTAGAACTCAAAATACAAGATTAAATCTTAACATATCTATACAAAGAATACCTCACTCCTTCTATCTTTAGTTTTTAGCAATAAATATTTGCAATAACACAAACGAACTTCAATTTAAATTCTCCAACGGCAACGAACAAACAAAAAGTCGTTCGTATCGGTTTTCTAATGCAAATGTTAAAACTGAACTACAGTATCGAAGTTTATCACGAAGTACCAGTGTTTGTATGTAGTTAGGTGCATCTGTAGTTGACACGAGTGCACGAGTAATGTCCACCCCTCTAGAGGAAAAATTCCAGACTACAGTAATCGAACTCTAGTTAGTATTTGATACTTGACTTGCTACAGAGTGTTTGGAAAAGTGTTACTGACTTTTATGCTTGATTTTTTTTGGTTGCCGGGTTGCAAGTGGGGATTATTATTATTTTTTTTATGGCATAAGCCTGTAAACGAGCAGACGGATCACCTGATGGTAAGCAATCGGCGTCACCCATGGACACCTGGAACACCAGAGGCGTTACAAGTGCGTTACCGGCCTTTTGGGGATTAGGAGTTTGAGGATGGTTGGGGATTCGGGGATTGGGGAAGGGGGGAGGGTAATTGGGCCTTCGGTGACCTCACTCACACGACGAAACATAACGCAAGCGTTGTTTTACGTCGGTCTTCTGTGAGGCCGTGGTATCACTCCGGTCGAGCCGGCCCATTCGTGCCGAAGCATGGTTCTTCCACGCTTTATTAACTATTTTCAGTGTCTTGTACATTATTGTTAGTCAGTAGTAAAATGTGTTTGTTTAGAGTTTCAGGCTTGGTCACTTAACCTTGATTCCTTTAACTTGCAAAGGTATAGCTTTAATATGGGAATAGAAACAAAATAATGTACCGTCTGTAGTTAACAGAATACAACTAGGGCTGCATTTGAGCACTGAGTGTGCTCAAATTGAACATCATCATAACATCACGCTTTTTATCTCCAAAGTGTTAGACATAGGTGCACATTACGGCACTTGATGCTACTGTACAATGTAAAACGCACTTTTCACTATTTATGCTATAAGTCCCATGTAATAGGGGGTGAGCCTGTTACTCAAATTGAAAGGTTATGAAATTGACATATAAAATATTTTACTTCGTTTGAATCAATGAAAAAAATTATACCTATTTAAGCTCAGTGGTATTCCTCATATTCATTCAACGAATGAGAATTGATTTTATGTAAATTGTACATACATAGGAACTTGATGCCCATATATTACGGTTCAACCAGGCTCTGGGGAACCGTTACTTCGAAGATAATTTACATAATACATAATATAACAACTCTATAGCAGATTTCCTCGAAGAGATAAGCAGCAATCCATTAAATTAGGTATAGCAATGATATTTAATGTCAAAGAGCAGAAAGCAAGTCTATTATTAAACGTTGAACGCAAATCTAGAAAGCGAATATTTCTGAGAATAGAGATTCTATTTACCGAACAGTTTGAATTTCGATAATTGAGAAGAAAAAATAATGGATGACGTTTGAAAATTCAATCTTGGCATAATGAAATGTATTAATTTTTGTACAATTACATAATTATTATTCGTTTTATTTAAGTGCTTTCTATCTGCCAATTTCAATAAATTATCTTAATTATTATTGCGATATAGATTGATTATTGACAGTAGTTGTACGGAGTTTCTGTCAAAAATCGATCTTAATCCACATATTTTGGATTACGATATGTTATAGAAATTGGCAGTATGTCAGTACATAAACCAAAAAGGATTACATTATGACGAATGAAAAGACGAGATGAGATATCATTTAAAAAAAAGTCAACTTCTATTTATCTGTTGTGTTTGCTAGTTGGCGCCACAGTCGTTTATAGTCCTTTTAATGTAATCACCATTATGTCAAAGAGTTTTCTACAAGGCAATAACTTTTGCAAAATATTCTGTTGGACGACCATAGAGATTTGTGATCCTCAAACCAAGGCATTGCCTTGGGAATAGCAGATGCGAGAATAAAAGATATTGAGATGAAAATCAAATTCACAGCGCGTAGAATATTGCAAGTCCTTTTTATTTATGCACTCTGGTGTTCGTAATAATCAGACTCCACACTAAAAAAGATGGAAATCTTCTGGCTTGGGACATTACGACGATATCCATTTGAAGTCCCTAGCGACACAACTTTTCTATTTTACATGGTGATGTGATATACACATCAATCTAACCTCCCACTATAAACTGACCGTCGAATGGTTGAAAAGATAATACAAAGCCAGACCAATATAATCTGGTTGTGTATAACTCGATGTATGTGTGTTCTTATTATGTTTCGACCAATGGAAGATGGGTTTTCCATCCCATGTATTAGGACTGAAGAATTAGCATACGCCAGGCCGGTACATTATACCCACGTAATCCTAAGGGACGTCGAAGGCTTCATTTGGCATCTGTCATACAAAGGTTCCGCTTATACTCAACGACCCGTGATGATCAATGAAATGGTTTTGAACGCAAGCGAAAAGGTAACTAGTCAATTTTGTGGAAGTTTATTAGGTATGTACGTGGCAGTGGCGTGCAGTCCATATAGGCGGAAAGGCTTTGCTTGACTTATAAATATCGTGAATATATAACATACATAAAATGTACAAACGCGTTTATTAAGATTCAATAATATAATAAAAGTTTGTAAAAAAACGGCTAACATAAATATACATTCACATATATACTATACACGGACCGCACGCCTTTGTAAAGCAATGAATGCGCCCCGTACGCACCACGCATGCGCAGCTATTCCTTAAATCTTGGTTGCCAGTCGTGACGTCACAAAAGTAATGTACTAAAAGTATGCACCGCGCATGCGTGAAGATCACGACCATAGTCACGTGACAGAATAACCATTCATAATTATATTACACGATTCCTGTTGATTGAGAAAATTTTGGCAACTAAAAAATTAGAGGATCGTTCGTTCATTACTTGGAAAACGATCGTATTTTATTAAGAATTCTAAAACAATAAAACAGCAACAAGTTATTGTATTTTTAAAAACAATTAAATCATAAAAGGTTTTAAATTGATACAATCTGTACATCGTAAAGTACTGATGAATGGAGTACACCAGCGCCATCTATTGAATTTTTTGTTGAAACTTCTGAACTCATTCGATATAATGCGAATGTATTTTTATAAATGCGTATTTAACAAATATGTTTCAAGTGTTTTAATTAAAGCTTAATATTTTTACGCGTTTTCGGTATATAGAAATTTTAATCGAGGAGTTGACTTTATTATTATAAAAGTTAAAAGGAAGTTATTGAAACGTCAAGATGGCGCCATTTACAACGTTTCAAATTATATGAATGAATATTTTTTAGTATGAAATATTGGTTTAAGACGATGATACAATTTCATCTGACTTACTAAATTAACCTTTGTTTTTTTTTAAATTAAACACTGCATTACCTTAATTTTTAAGCTACATTTTTTTTATAATAAACACTCAATTGACTATTGGTAATGACTTCAATTCATTTCCAATGTTTTCGGCCATATTGTTTTCATGTGATGTGCGATCGCTTTGTTTATGTTTTCGTTTAAATTATTAGGAATTAGTTTTAAACATAAAGTTGCGTAAATATGTGTAGTAGTAGTTAAATACACCGTGATATTTTAATGGTTGTTTTCCCACAGTAAAATGATTCTATCTTAGTAGTACAATAGATTGAGAAAGTTGTTTTTAATTTAAATAAAAAAATAGCAGTTTTACGATAGTGATACACGAAACTTGAAAGAAACCGCGAACCAATAGTACCGCCGCGACCGGCCACTGGCCGCTGTCATTGTCGCTCGCGCTTATCAAAAGGCTGATAACTCAGTATTTACTAACAAGTGATTTCCATTTTCCCTTCATACTTTAACGGGCTTGGGACCGTCGTAAATACTTTTTAACTACACTTACTAAACACAAACATAAACAAAATTTAATCAAGAGATATTATCTTGTTTTACTGAATTTGGCAAAGTATTTAAGGCGTATTTAAAAAATGGGAATCAACGTATTTACAATGATTTTAATCACACAACTTATTGTTTTATTTACAAATGTACAAGTACTTACACTTCCCGGTAACGGAGCAATTGTTCAAAGTGTAAGCCACCGCGTTCCACACACAATCGTGCACGTTTTAACTGATTGGCTTTCAATTTTAATAATGTGTCTCTGTCACGTATAATCACATCAAAAGCGTCCACTATCGCACTTTTTAACGCGTCGCGAGTTTCGTATTCTTGCCGATACACAAGGCGTTTGAGATTAGACCACAAATAAAAGTCTATTGGAGTAAGATCCGGACTTCGTGGTGGCCATGGCACTGGCCCGCCACGACCGATCCAGCGCTGGGGAAACACCGAGTCGAGGTGCTCTCGCACGGCGCGCTGATAATGCGCAGGGCAACCATCGTGCTGGTAATACAGGCCATCCATTGGCACTGCTAACGGAATGTCATCTAGTAAGTCCGGGATAACACTACGTAGCATTTGTAGGTACGTTTCACCAGTTAAGTGTCCTGTCACAAAATGAAGCCGCGAAGACGAAGTGACTCCATGTGCCGCGGCTCCTCGTAAAGTCGACGGGCGGCATGCGAATTATAATTTGCCCTCGCGTACAATTGCACCATAGTTACGTACTCCACGTTAGAAAAAACGTAATGGCGATCCATTTTGGCGGCAACAATATTGTACTGCGCTTACGCGGTTGCGCGGACGGCGTTCGCGGTGCGACTGGTGCGAATGAAAGCCATGCGAGCCGGTGCGAACCGATGCGAGTGACAGAGAGCGCGGTGGTTGCCTTTGTTGTTTGTCGTGACTTCGTGAGGCGATCCGCTCGCGCGCGCGTGCATTGTAGTTTATGCTGTATTACTAAGTACGAGAGATTATTTTACTATGAACATTGATTTGACGTCACATTTTAGAAGAGAAACTATCGTTTCTCATGCTTTCGAGTTGATGATTATTTTTTTGAGTAGATGAGGAGAAAAAAAATATTTTTTTCCTCCTCCAAAAGTTACTTGCATTATTCGATAGTACTACTAAAGGGAAATCGTTCTGCTGCGGGAAAACAACCATTAAAATATCACGGTGTATATGTGTAGGGTTTTCAAATAGTGTATTTGTTTATCAGTTTCTAGTACAAGTACCTATATTATTCGATTGTGAAGTTCGTGTGGATAATAGGTAATTTTATGTGTTTGTTGAAAGTAAAAACAGTAAGATTTCGCAAGAAATTTCCTTTATCGGACTAGATTCCGGTAATGACCATAGGCAGAGGTGTACTCGAGTTACGAGAATTGACTATTGACCCAAGTAAAAGGTAGGTAATGTAAATATGTACTATATAATGTATCTTTTATTTGAATTTCTTGTTTATTGTTTGATAATTCTTAAAAATATCAACTTAGACTTCGGGTTGTACTGATTTACATATATTAATTTATTATTAATAACTATGTAATGTAATAAACTAAAAACCGCATAGACTCGGCTCGGCCACAGCCGGCCGCGCTTGTTATTGTTTTGTTTGTTGACATAATGTAGGTACCTACGCTCTTAAATTCGTAATATGTATATTATGATTCTGAACAGATTGATTAAACTTAACAATTCCATAATGTTTGGTTCATCAAATTTATGCTTCATTATTAAAATAAATAATAGATCCTTCATTATTTGTAAGTTTTGTTGGCTTATTCAATAGCTGATGAAGTACTTCACAAAAAATACGCGGGATGTCAGTGTATGTAATTTGGCGAAAGAATAAACCACAATATTCTTGAACGCACTTTTCGAAATGTATTTTGTAGGTACATGTACCTGTCTTGTGTGAGCATGATTGTATGACCGGCGGGGGGGGGGGGGGGGGTTAATCATACGATATTTAGTTGCCTACCCTGTCTCGAAAACCTGTGCACGCCACTGGTACGTGGTAAAATGATTTTGATTATAATTCTAATACTAATAATAGAGATTGATAGTTTACATTACGTAGATGCTATTTATTTTTTATCTTTTTACATAACTTAACATCACGCCGGTCATCCCGAAGCAATAAGGCACTTAATGCCACTGTAGAATGTAACACCCAATTTTCATTATTTATGTTATGAGTCCCATGTAATAGAGGGTGAGCTTATTGTCACAATTCTGGTACAATTTCAGACTCCGTGCTACTACTGAGTATTATTAAAAAATCCCAGTAATACTTTGCCCGACCCAGGAATTGAACCCGAGACCCCTTGCATGGCAGTCGCAAGTATTACTTCCCGGTGCTGCTTCAGATTCCGATGCTTGATGCCAGTAGAAATTCTAGTTTTATTATTTTTAACTTGACACCTAAAATAATCTTCAGCGATTTAGTAATAGCAATAATCGATTACAAAAAACAAAATGTTACAACAATACATTCAGTATTCAGCCTATTTTCTGTAACAACACGATTCTATTTAAACTTTACTTCAATATTTTATTAATGAACCGAAGCGAAATCGTGATCGCCCATCAATACCTTTCATTATGCCAGTGGCCTTGGATATCCTAGGTATTCTATAGACTTGTCCTAGGTACTCAATATACCATTTTATCTTGGTCCCATATTGTATGGTCTTTCCGTACATTCAACAGTTAGTTTATACTGGTTTTGTTAGCTTGACGTGCAATTGTGTGTGACTTATTCTAATCGATTACTACTGGTGACGTCAAACAAACATAGACACATTTACACTTAGTATTTATTTAAAATGGTCTGTAGGTGTTTCGGTTTCCATGGTAACGGATTATTTAAGAATAATGTGGATACTAAATGTACATAGACTGCTTCGTTGGCCGAGTGGTCGCAAGTGCGACTGCCTGGGCAAGGGGTCTCGGATTCGATTCCCGGGTCGGGCAAAATATTACTGGGTTTTAAAAAAAAATCTCAGTAGTAGCACGGAGTCTGGAATAGTGCCCGGTATATGGCAATAGGCTCACCCCCTATTACATGGGACTTATAACATAAATAGTGAAAAGTGCGTTGTACATTGTACAGTGGCATGATGTGCACCTCTACCTACCTCTTCTCCATAGGAATCTACACTTTGGAACGAGCAAATAGCTTCACTAGAGGACTGACCTACAGACTGACATTTTTTCTTATTATTTAATATTTAAATATTTTGTTTTGACATTCAAAAGTGTACCTTACTGTTCTAATTGAAATAAATGATTTTGACTTTGACTTTTGACTTTTGACTTTGATGTTATGTTATGTTATCCATCTGCAAACACATTTCCTAGGCCCCCTTAAATCCCCTTACAGCCGTCACTGGTTCTCTTAATACCGCACTTTTAATCCATTTTAATTATTCCATAGAGAATCAATCCAATCATTGTCTCCTCACATCGGGGAATGACGGTCAAACCCAATTTGGGAGCTGATATTTAATTCGATTGTTTGGTTTTTTTATTGACCTATTGAAAACCAACCTATTGACCTATTGTGTATTAAAGGCATAAACTTAACATAACATAACATCACGCCTTTTATCCCCGAAGGGATAGGCAGATGTCCACATTATGCCACTGTACAATGTAACACCCACTTTTCACTATTTATGTTACGAATCCCATGTAATAGGGGTTGATCCTATTGCCATATACCGGGCACAATTCCAGATTTCGTGCTACTACTGAGATTTTTTTTTAAACCCTGTAATACTTTGCCCGACCCGGGAATCGAACCCGAGACCCCTTGCCCGGCAGTCGCACTTGCGACCACTCGGCCAACGAGGTAGCATAAACAATTTTTTTTTCTTTTTTTTTGAGGGTAGCATAAACTTAATGTGTTATAAGGTTAATATCCATATATTCAATTGTCACTCAATCGGATAGTTTTCTAAGTTTAAAATAAATTGTTTCAACTTTTCAATGCAATAAATAATTATAAAATAATAATAGGTACTCTCATCTATGGATTTGACGATTTACCTACTTTTAGATTTTTTCTTGCTAATTTTCAATAAAATAAGATGACGCAGAAATATGATGACTTTACAGATTGCGATCTAATACAAAATTCATAGAAAAATATAGTTTTTGACATTTCAATAAAAGTATTGAATTTGATTAAGTTTCAACTACCGTATTTTAAGTCGCGCTTATGTATATTTCTGTCACAACAAATTGTATGTAAAATGAAAGAGATGGCACGATAGTTAAGTACAAGTTAAAATTGAACAGCCTTTCAGTGAGCGTAAGTGCAGTAAACTCGTATAAGTAAAGAATATTTTTTTGAAACAATTGAATACTCAAATATAAAACAAGCAACAGTTACATCAGGTCAAAATACATATTAAAAATGCGTCTTCTATCTACTTTTATTAATGTAAGTATACCCAAGTGTACTTACAGTAAAACAATAGACGTAGGTATTTTTGTCCATAATTCTGTAAATAAACAAGTGTATCGTGGTGGCCCGGAGGTTTAAGATGCCCGCTTTTCATGAATGAGGGTGTGGGTTCAAAAAATTCACATTGGTACTTGTCGTTGGTAGGCCAACGACAAGTACCAATGTGACTTTTTCCGCGTTATATGTACTTTCTAAGATTATTTAGACACCACTGACAAACGGTGAAGGAAAACATCGTGAGAAAACCTGTGCTTATAATTTCTAATTACAAGTTTGAAATCGCCAACCCGCATTGAGGAAGCATGGTGATTGATACTCAAACCTTCTCCATGTGAGAAGAGGCTTTGCTCAGCAGTGGGCACTTATAGGCTGTTGATGATGATGATGATGAAATAAATAAGTCAACAGAGATTACAATGCACCAATCCAAGATGATTATAGAAGTTCCGTATTATAAACGCCCATACAGCTAGAAACCACATGTTCCCACTCTACGCATTACACACATTTCGGGTTAAGCACATTAATACCACTTACTGGCAACGTTTAGGACAATATACAGTAACATTATCTAACACACACTCACACAAACACAATTAACGTACGCATGGTACGTAAAAGGGATGCGTTGAAGGGAATTGAAGATTTAGTGCGCTCAAAATAGACGTTGTGTTAGTAATATAGGAAAAATCTACATTTTTGGTAGTCACCTTTAATTTTTTAGAGGTAAGACGTATATTATAGCATAGCTAAACAAGTCCTGAGTGAACAGGTTGCTCAAAGGTAGACGTGCTCCATCGTCAGCCCACCGCTTCCCAACAGGCCAGATGGTGGCCAAACATCATCCTATCGTAACATAATATAACATCACGCCTTTTATCCCCGAAGCGGTAGACAGAGGTGAACATTACGGCCATTACTTAATGCCACTGTACAACGTAACACCCACTTTTCACTATTCATGTTATGAGTCCCATGTAATAGGGGGCGATTCTATTGCCATTTACCGGGCACAATTCCAGACTCCGTGCTACTACTGAGATTTTTTGGAAAAAACCCAGTAATACTTTGCCCGACCCGGGAATCGAACCCGATATCCCTTGCCCGGCAGTCGCACTTGCAACCACTCGATCAACGAGGCAGTCACGACATCATCTGTCGTACGTTTGTGCCCACAAATACTCAAGGTCCCTCATATTCCTGCAATAAATTGCATACTTAACATTATAGTGTGATAAGAGCTAACTTAGGGATTGACCCAACAGACTAGGATTGGACAGCAGTACTCTCTGAAAAATCTGAACTTATACTAAGATCTCTAATTTGCCTGTTGAATCTATAATCTAGTAATGGATTAAAGGGCTGTTTATAGAGAATAAATATAACACCAGAAGGGCTAGAGAACATATGTTAAATAAACCTAGAATAATAAACTACTATGGTAAGAGAACTAATAAATATATAGTGCCAAAGATATTCAATAAACTGGATATATTGAGAGAGGAAAATAAAGTGAGTTTGTTTATGTTGAAGAAGAAACTAAGGGGAGAATTGCTTAAGAGAGCATAGGCAATGCATTCTTTAATTTCTATCCTTTATAATGTGTATTTTTTATTTTTGTTTTGATTTCAGTTTTCTTTTAATGTTATATAAAGTACTTAATTAGCTAGTGAGAATAAGAAATGAGCGCTTCTCGCCGTTAAACGATAGGTTTGGCGAGGATCTTTAATTATAAGAACAACATGTTAATCATAAAATAGTACTTTTGTTAAATAAATAAAATAAAAATGAAAATTATTCTGATTCTTATGATAATAAACTTTATCGTTCCTCAAAATCACTACAATGGAAGTGGTAAAGCTATCAAAAAGTCAATAAACTCGAAGAACATACTTACTAACCCTTTCCAAAAATAACAACTACATATGTATATTATGTTTGACTAATGACTTAATCCCCATGTAATACACACTATAGCAATTTATTCTAAAATCTACGTCTTCAGCTATAAACCGGTACAAAACACATTAAAACAAGGAATCCTCTTAAGCGACACGCGTGGGTGTCAGGATACGAGTACGTACACGAGTAAGCGTTGAATTTAATAACCCTACAGCTATGAGCGATGTCTCTTTTTAGTGGGATAAATATTTTCATTATTATTTAAATTTTGAATGACATTTCGGTCATTTTTGTTGTTTGATGTAGTTTAAATGGTTTGATAAAAAGAAAAGGTAAACAAAATGTTACATACTATAAGTGCAAGCATTGATGAGGGACCTCACTTTTTGATGAGGGAAAATCATTCATGATGATGACAAGGATTGGCCGCAAAAAGCTTTACATAGAGAGGAGTGGAAGGAGGGTAGGGAGGCCTTTGCCCTGCAGTGGGACGATCATGGTTGAAAATATAATAAATAATAAAATCATCCAATGACTTCTCCCGCCCGGGCGAGGTGAGAGGGAGTATCAGATTCTTAATGTCTAAAAACCACCCCGTTCTTACTTTTGCACTTCGAGGCGGCTGTTCTTCGTTTAGAAAGGATGTTATATTTTTAATCATAATAAGGTTGACTTACAAGGCGCAGGTGTGCGTCGACACTCGTATTTTATAAGATCGTCTATATTTTATAGACTTTGCCTTTATTATACCTGCTTTTTACCTATGTAAATGAAAATTGTATCACCAAAATGGGACAGGGATGACTATTCCATTTTTAATTTAAAATTGATCCAAGAGGTACCATAATCGTTAGTTATGAAGAGCAATACACCGGAGATTGATGTTTTAAGATTACCGCCTTTTGGACAGTAAATCGAACTACCCCAATTTGTAATTTTCTTCATTGCAATTTCAATTATATGTCAAAACAAAATAAAGTTGAAAATCTAATAAAGAAGAAGTAGGTTGACCTGCTGGCCGGTGTATCTGCTAATACAATCAACCTAGATTTTCATCAATGTAAGAAATTATTTGAGGAAAAATTATTATTCCCTACAGAATTCCTAGAAAGATGTTCGGGGCAAATGACAGTTTGTCCAATATTTGAGAGTAAGTGTCAGTCTCGAATTATTTCTGAAAATTTTCGCTGTAAAATACAATTACGTTTTCGATTTCAAAATTCTCCGTAATGGCTTAGAAAGATATTAATTGGCCTTAAAGTTATATAATTATAATAAGGGTTTACCTACTACCATGTTGCCTTAAAGAAATCGATATATCTAATGTTTAACAAAAATTAAACTTCATCATTTTCCACCTCTTTCTTTTTTTAAATATTTTTTTAAAAACTTGCAACACATATTTCTAAATACTGCTTCAAATCGGTTAAGCCAATACAAAATATACCTACGTACAAACATAAAAATTCGTTTTCAATTTACGTAAATATGATCATGTTTCTGCACATCGGTTGCAATTAAAATGACTGCCCATACGCCTGCGCAGGCAACAAAGGGCGTTAACTACTTTATTTTCTTTTCTCGACTCTCCTTCTTCACCTGTTTATCTAGCTTCCTACTACCAACATACATGCGCAAACCATTCTAAATACCTTCGCTCATCTAATAACCGTCAACTTCAATGTCCCACTCACCGCACTGACTATCTTCACTCCTCCTTTTTCGTTCAATCTGTCTCTCTGTGGAACGCGCTGCCCAAGGAAATCAGAATGGCAAATAATCGCTGTTCATTTAAATTCAAGGTTCGAGAACACATTTATAGAAAGTGGCAAACTCAAAACAGTGATAATAGGTATGTAGTCTATGTATTGCATTTATTTATATATGTATGTATTATATAGTAATTATATCATATTATATGTATGCATATTTGGGATATATCTTTATTATATAAATCATTTTAAGACCCTATACCCTTAGTTATGTATTATTGACTATAACAATCATGTCTTCCCTCTTTAATATTTTATTACCTTAACTTCGTTATCTACTTCATACTTTCTTTTTACAATTTTGCACCTACCGCTTTAACATTCTGCTCCACCCAATGGTCGACTGTCAGAAAATGCCTACGGCATTAAGTCCGCCAATTTCACTGTATGTGCAATAAAGTTTTAATAAATAAATAAAAATACTACCGACTTCTTAGTTTTTTTTTAATCAGGAAAATCTATAGAAAATGTTGTATACCATTCGAATAATAACAAAACACAATCAAATAAAAGGACAATGCCATAATCCATTGTTTTCTTGAAGCCAGCAAAGAACAACCAATCTTCTGCAATAAAACTCAATTTCCTATAAATCCGATAGAGGGCCCTCCTTCCGCAAATCGTCTGTTAAACTCATTAGGAATTGTTTGTACTAGTTGTCTTTGAAAGGTAGATTAACTATGAACCTTGTATTTATCTTTCATTGATCGAAATCTGAACTAATTACAAGGTATATTTGATCAAAATAACTGAAGCTGATAGTAGATCTTTGATAATTCGGTAAATAAATACACGAGGATTTCTATCGTTCGACTATTTAGCTGTTCGGTCGAAGTTATTATTTCTTAATATTTAAATGTGTTCCTGTGTAATAAATGTTTTTATAGATACATACCTACTTAATTTTGATGGGTTAAAATACCTATGTTAGTACAAATTTTCATGAGTGAAAAATACGTTCTGCCAAAGTGAAGGTCACATATTTAATCAATAATGCATGCAGAAGATTAGCTTAAAACATTGAAGCTTTCTTTTTTTTTATTTTAATCGTGTATTTACTTAAAACAACCCTCCTTTCTTAAGCTAATATATTTTTACCATAATTATTTATGACTGCCTCGTTGGCCGAGTGTGACTGCTGGTCAAGAGGTCTCGGGTTCGATTCCCGGGTCGGGAAAAGTATTACTAGGTTTGTAAAAATCTCAGTAGTAGCATGGAGTCTGGAAATGTGCCCGGTATATGGCGATAGGCTCACCCACTATTACATGGGACTTATAACATTAATAGTGAAAAGTGGGTGTTAGATTGTACAGTGGATTTTGTGCCGTAATGTGCACCTCTGCCTACCCCTTCGCGGATAAAAAGTTTGGTGTTATGTTATGTTTGTGTTATTTATGTACCTAAGTTATATAGTAACAAGAAATTAACTATATTTTTTTTTCACCAGGTCGACGCTGTACGTGGCGTAGGTTCCTAGGTCCTCGAGGTGGAACTCCACAGCATTCTGCAGCTTCCACCGAGACTGAACTGCCCCCAATAGACACAAGAGACCTTTGGATCCAAGATTCAAGGTAAAGTATAAATTCCAATCCTTCTATGCTTTAACATCATGTTTTTTCAGCTCTCAAACTCAAAACTCAAAGTCTTTATTTACATGTTAAGGTACAGTTTATAGTCTCTCTACAGTCTTCAAAAAGTTTCAGCAAGAACCTTGTTGTGGTTTTGTCTTTGTCAAAAATTTTGTCAAAGTTAATCAAAATACAATTGATAAGTATTTTGCTCGTCGTAGAACTTGACCGCTTCTAAAAAAGAAGGGGTTAATATGAACTCCACAATACAAATTTTAATATTTTTCTCACTTATTATAAATTTTTATTTGGTAAAGTTACTTTTTATACTACAAAATAAGTGTTTCATACAATTATGATTTTTTTTGTAATCATAAATCATTTATTTATTTGTAGACTTAAGTTACATGGACTACATAGATGTTCTTAAGTTAAATAAAAACCGGTTTAGTTACACTATATATTTTGCCTTACTTGGCATACAAGTATTAATAACTATAGCGTCAATTTTAATTCTATTAATACAAACAAATAAAAAATATTTAAAGTCAACATTGTCAATTTAAAGTTCAAGGTCATATTAAATTAAAATTCAAAATCTTTACAAATATATTGTATTCACTTAATAATGATAATAATTTATCAGAAACAATTAAAATTAATCTATATAAATAAAAATTATTTCCGTTCGTTAGTCTCACTAAAACTCGAGAACGGCTGAACCGATTTGCCTAATTTTGGTCTTGGCATGTTCGTGGAAGTCCTGGGAAGGTTTAAACGGTGAGAAAAACAATTTAGGCAGCACGAAGTTTGCCGGGCCAGCTAGTATTGTATATATTTTCATTTAGTAATAGTTAATATTAATTTTACCTCTATTTATGTCGAATTAAAGACAAAGAAAAGAACTAAAAAGGGCAGCATTCTTTATCACTACTCGACAATAGATATCGCTTCATACATTACTGATTGTATTTGAATAAAAATATTAGGACTAACTAATTTTCCTCAGTTTGCAGTTCGTTTAAAAAAAAGAAATTTGAAAATCAAATTAGGAATTCTGTGTTTAACTACATATATCTTCTTCTTGGCTATTCTAACTCCTATTTGTCACGTGTACGCTGGTCAAGACAGACGTGTGCCTTTAAAATTGTTTGGTGTTTACAGCTTTAAATTTTCAGGGAAATATTGGAGCGTTGTTTGTCATGAAGCATGTTCATTAATTTTCTATGACCTTATCTAATAATATTCTTTCTACAATAAATGGTGTTTAAATACTATTCGAATGGGTGAATAAAACCAATGTACGGGACTGATACATAGTTCTATAATTAAGTAGATATGTGGTTTACCTGAAAAGATTTCCGGGTTTTTTGAAAATCAGTAATTAAAAAAAACCTTTGACCCACACTAAGATTTTCTCCTGTCTCGTGGGTACGTTTGCAAACATACAAGTTCACATACACATCACACCCAGACCCGAAACAACAATCTATGGATCACACAAAGAATTGTTCCGTGCGGGAATCGAGCCCGCGACACACCAGGTACCGCGCCAAGCGTGCAGTCTTGTATAACTAGTGAATGTACAAAGGTGCAAAATGGAAATTGAAAAGATCATATCAAAATCTACAAAGTTGCTGATTCTTAAAACTCCCGGAAAATCAGTAAAATCGCGGGTTACTCACGTGAATATACTGAGAAAAGCTCTACTAGTTTCGAACCACAGAGGGGTTCCTCCTCATGAGCAGTGTGCGCGGTCGGGGCGACGTCGTATGTCTCACGATAGTTATTATAAAAACATGCCGGAAAATTCTCCAGTTAAGCTACCTAATTACCGAACTAACAGACATTTGACAAAATATTTACATTTATATCAGTGAAATGACGTCAAGTCCATACATTGAATGTTCTAGTTCCTCGTTCGACTAAAGTTTAAATTCCATGAGTTGTCATCAGGGCTGATGTTGCAATGTTCTTTTCTTGCTTCTATGAATGTTAGGATATCAAAAGAAAATGGTGTATCTACGTCATTTAGAATTGCATGTCGATGTTGCTTGTGTGTATTGTTCCATTAGAATTCAATACTATTCCAAATTTTAATTATTGTGAACTAGATCAAATTTTTTTTCTTAACACTTTAAATGCCAAGTTTAAAATGGTGAAAGTCAAACCTCCACGAGCATCAGTCACCGCTGGCTGACGTGGCACTCTAAGGGCTAAAATAAAATTACGGAAATCGGCATAACATAATCGGCTATATAATATATTGGCTAAAATATATGCATTATGATACTAAACTTCAACAATTTAAAAACTACGTGAAAAACTCCTCCAAATATAAAAATATGATAAATATAATCAATAAAAGTATTACATACATATATAAGACAGACCAGTGACAGTCCACCCACGACCACACAATAAAATACCGTCAGCAGATTTCGGCAACAGAAATCCTAAAAATAAAATCATCCCTTTTTATAACTTGTTTTTTTTTCTTAAGAAAACCGTACTTCAATTACTTAGAATGTCTTCAAAAAGTTTTGTGAGAATTCCGGGTACTGTTCCGGAGGCAAACAAAATATTATTTATATTCTAAAGGAGTGTTACAATCTGCTTAGGAACGAGGCTTTATAGAATAGATATTCATTTTGAAAGAAATCCATCAAATCTACATTTCGAAGAATCTTTAGCAATGTGTAAGACTTCGTTACAAGTGCGAATGTCGAGCAATTTGTCTCAAGTTCAATTGCCGGGACAAGCAAAGCAATCATCATCATCATCAACAACAACAGTCGAAAGATATCCACTGCTGGACAAAGCCCTTATTTTTTTTTAACGACGGAAAATCATCGCATGGCTTTTCCCGCCTGGGTGAGGCGGGAGGGATTGTCAGACTCTTACTGACTAAAAATCACCCCGTTCCTACTCCTGCACTTTGAGCCGGAGCCCCGGTAACCCGGGCTAGGTTAGGTTCTCCGTGGCTCCGTATCCGCATCAGCCCTATTGGGCCCCATCCGTGGTGATCTGATGGATTTTTGAGGCGCGCGCGGAACGCGATGGGCAAAACATTATTGGACATAGATTGTGGTTGTGAATTAGAATATAAAAAATGTATTACTTATAGTAAACAAGTACGTACTTAGCATAATACATTCTACATATTTAAAATAATTAGTCAACAGGTTCTGTATTGTTATTAAACTGAAATTTTCCAACTGCTATCAATTGTTAATTAATCATCATCATCATCACCATGAACAGCTTATAAATGCCAACTGCTGAGCAAAGCCTCTTCTCAAACGGAGAAGGTTTGAGCCCTAATCACCACGCTTGCTCAATGCGGCTTGGCAATTTCAAACTTATAATTAGAAATTATAAGCCCAGGTTTCCTCACGATGTTTTTCTTCAAAGTTGGTCAGTGGTGTCTAAATAATCTTAAAAAGTACATATAACTTGGTAAAAGTCACATTGGTACTGTCAAATACTTCTATGAATTATAGAAGGTCCATAGTCTAGCGGACTGTCACGAACGGTTGATGAAGTATAGTCATAAATTCCACTTTTAACCACCACCATCAAAAACTACCACTCGGCAAAAATGCTATCTACAACGTTTAACCACGGAACCCAAAAATTATACAAAACCATTTGTAACCACTTAATAGAAAATTACAAAGAACAGAGTACTGCATAATCGTTTTCCACGGAAACTTGGATTTTAACGTTTTTTAATAGGATTGAAATTGCAATGTTAAATTGTAAGTAGCGAGTACACGCCAGTTATTCATTACGAAGTTCTCCGAACTTATGTTGACACGTGTCATTTTGTTCGGAAATCCGCGACTAAATAATTTAGGTGATAATCGGAAACGTGTGATTGTGGAGTTTTCTTAGAAAAATCGGCTTAGTTAATTCTGAGAACAACTGAACGAAACGTAATGGTTAATGCTTTATTGAAATTAACTTTCAACGTCATTTCTTTATACTTTTTAGAAATTAAGATCATTATAATAATATTATCAAGACCAACTTCAATTAAATAAAATTTATATGAAGTGATCTTTTGGTATTAATCGAGCATTATTTGTACAACCAGAAACGCGTTAGAAAAGCTGAACTTATTCCAGTATATTCACTTTTTATTATCTTTTTCATAGTCCTATTGAGGACTCCTATACAAAACTGCGATGCTATGTAGATGCAGATGCAGAAAATTACGATGCGATTTTGTGTGACAAGGCGTCTCCCAGGGTGACTATTCCTTCGACGACCGTCAACCGTACTAAACGTATTTAAAATTAAAAACTAGGTCGTGACGTGGATCATAAAAAGAAGTGTGCACTTCTGTTTGCTTAGACGATACAGGAAAAATAAACATAGAAGGTTTCGGGAAGATTAGGTTTTGATGCGCGATACGAATCAATTTGGAAGTTCTTGCGATGCGCAGAGGGAGCTTGCACATTTTTGCTATGCAACTTCGCATCGCAGTTTTGTGTACGAGCCCTCAGTTATAAGGAAGAGTAGCATAGTCCCATATAAGTATAATTATAGTAATCTTCAAACGCTACTCTAGACTACGCTATTCCAAATCTAGGATTTAATTTAATCTTAGGTTTCATCATCATCAGCCTGTATTCGTCCACAGCTGGATATAGGCCTGTCTAATGGCACGCCACTGAGCTCGGTCTTCAGCTCTTCTCATCCAACCACTACCAGCCACCTTGCGGATGTCGTCACTGCACCTAGCTGGGCGTCCTACACTACGTTTGCCTAGACGTGGTCTTCACTCTAGAACACGTTTACTCCGACGGTTATCGGTTCTTCGACAAACGTGACTGGTCCACTGCTACTTCAGCTTATTAATCTTAGGTCTAACAATAACTTTTACGTCCAACTAATATGGTTACTGTAATAAGTTAAAAATAAATTAATAAAAAACTCTTTATTCGACTTTATCGTATCACAAGTCAACTATTAATTCTATTTGCCCCAAGAATAGA